AATATCAATTTTATAATTAATAATATCTATATTTTCTTCTAAGGTTGCTATTTTACCAATACTATTTTTTTGTGCAATTTTCATATTTGATTTTGGATTTCTTCTAGTTTAGCTTCATCAAACATTTCTAAATTATTAATTTGTTCCTTTATTTTATTAAATTATTTGGACATATTTTTATTTAAAACTCGCAGTGTTTCTTTAGCAATTTCATCTTTTTGATCTATATTATTAATTCTATCTGTAACTTCTATGTCTTTAGATTTTAATTGTCATAATTGTTGCCATAAAAATGCATTAGTTCAATTTGTAGTCATATTTAACTATCCATCTGTATTTCTCCATGAACTTAAATGTTGAAATGTAGTTGTATTCCATCCTCTAGTTTGATAACTTTCTATTGGTAGTCTTATATTTTATATTTCTTATTTATTAAATCTTATTTTTGCTGGTAGACTCATATTAGTCTGGTAGGTTTACGAGATTTGTTATATTATTTGTTCTTTTTATCTTCTTAATTGTTTTTCTATTCTTAGAGCGTGTTCGGTAGAGATTGAAATTGGATTAAAATTGAAAAACTAGCTGTTATTGTTGACTTTTATTAGACAAGTGGGACCCAATAACGGCTATATTTTCAATTTTAATTGGATTGTAAGATTAGCCAAACATGCTCTTAGTGTGAATTAAAGTGGTCATTCCATGTAATTTCCTCAAATTAAAATGATAGTTCAAAGAAAAAAAATGTAAAATAAACGTTTTTTTTTTTTATATAAATACGGTCATTTGCTTATACAAAATGACTGTAATGTCCTTTTATTTCGACGTTCTCTAGAAAATCTAGGCAAAGTTGTTGGGGAAGATGAAAATATAGACTAAAACTTTGTCAACTTTTTCTAATTTGCCAAGAACGTGCGGATGCCTCAAATAAGTTATTTTGAAAGCAATGTAGATAACTCGATATCAATTCCATATATGAGCAAGGCATGGAAAAAGATGCTCAACTATATATTTCTAGAATTTTTCCTCATGTAGAGAAAAAATTCTTGAAAAAATACAGATATGTGAGTAAAATATTGAAGAAAAAAAAACCACCCACTCCCTATTGTGTCTATTGTGGTGCATTTCCGTGGCTACATTTTCTGTACGTATAGTGTAGTTCATATTTCTAACTGCGTAATGTCAGTGCACGCGCTAAAAGGGGCATGACTTTCTTTATATTTTCGTCCGATTTTTTTAATTTTTAAGCTTAAATAATCTAATTAATTAAAAGAGTAATTATTAATAATCTTAAAATAATAATCAATGATCTTAAAATAATTAAAATATGAAAAAAATCTTATTACGATTTACGTCTAGTCTCGTAAAACTTGATTTCACTCTCCTTGTGCCTTTTAAATTTTGATGAATTATCATATTGTCAATTTGAGTTTTTTTATTTTTTTTGAAAAAAATTATTCAAATGAAATGTATTGTTAGAAAAGCTGTTCACTTTGTGGATAGAAATTAGAAAAGTTCACGCCATTTTTGATAGTTGTCGTGAATAAGTCCAAACGCAAAGGGTATTCCGCATGGCTTAACTCAACTTTTTAAACTTTAATGTATAGTGATCTCTCTGTCGCTTTCCAAATTCAGTCAAAAGAGCATTTTAGTAAAATCCGACAAAAGCTAAGGCTTTTCCCCGACGTCGGTCCGTGCCTTTCTAACGTTCGTGCGTTCAAACTAGAATCGAGTAGGTAAAAGTCTTGAGTTCAAATCTCAAAATTATACTCGTAGATCGTAAAAGACTTTTGTTTCTTTTTTTTTAAATAATCACTATATGTTACATGTTTTATTATTTACAAAATGAAAACATAATACGATAAAAATAAACGTAGATGACTTTTGATCATTAAGATTGAAGCCATCTAGTGTTGTTGAAAACAAGATTTGCATTAATACATATGAGATGGTTAATATAATTCAGAGTTAGGCAACAAATTTAGGATTGACATGAAAATTAGGGAGGGCGTAAGATATTTTATCAAAAAAATACGTTGTTCATGTGATGGGGTGCATCAAATACGTGATTTTTGATGAATACACGTGATCCCTTTCCTATTTAACCATTTAAACTTTTAAATGACACGAGAGTAACGCATGAGAAGATTCGAAGACTATAAATGTATTTACCTTTCTAATAGAATTGATCTCCTGCCTCGGATAAAAAATTTCTCGCTGCTGGCATGACAGAAGGAATCGTAAATATGGTTCTTTGAATATATGATTATTATAGAAAATCATAAGTAATTAAGGTTCGTCTGCCACGTCAGCCATGAGACTCGTGGTGAGCAGGAGATCAGATCTAGACCTTTCTATATAATAACTTAATCTTTCAAATGAGATGGTTCAATAAATCTATCTTTCAATGTATGTGTGTGTAAATGTATAGTTATATAGACACCTACACTCAGAATTCTTACCCTCAATCCCTACTCTCTTAACCTTGTCATCACTTCGATTTGTTACTCCTCTTTCATCATTTCTGGTCTTTTACAACAGAAGCATATCTAAATATTTGCGGTACGTCATTGAGCCTTAACTTTATCTGTCTATCTTTGTTCAAACTGATATATATATCATCACAGTGTGTTTCTGGCTAATCTTGGCGGAACAATGTTTTGGTGGCAAAAATCTTCAAAGTTCTGTATATTTTCAGCACATTTAGTAAGCACTACTGGTCGAAAATGGACAGTAAGAGTTTTAGTTGTTTGACAGTGGGATTTTGTTAGTGAAAAAAAAGGATATTCTTGATTTTCTTACTGATGCTCGTGCTTGTTCTTGTTGTTGCTTAGCTGTCCTCGTGATTATAGTAAATGTCAATTTTATTCCATCAATGAATAAACGATTATTCTAATTCATTAAAAGCTGTGTTATTCCTTTTAGTCTCTGTATTTCTGTAAATTGTCAGATCCAAGATAAGGTGAAAATCTTATAGTATTTTTGTTTTGTGGCAGAAAATAAAGGGATAATTCTCTATTTGCTGAAAGTTGCTCAGCTTTCAGGGTTTTCTTTAAGCTCTACCTGATAAACAATTTATGCCTGGAGAGAGAATCTTTTGATCAGTTGAAAATGGCGAAAATAGGGCTAAAAAGATACAGATTTTTCGTTTTGATGGTGTTCATTTTTATGTTCTTGAATCTGTATGCATGCAAAGGATTTGAATTTGAGCTACTTTTGTCCATAAAAGCGTCCATTAATGATCCTTTGGAGTCTCTGAGCACCTGGAATTCCTCTCTTCCTTTCTGCAAATGGAATGGAGTTACCTGTTACGATTCATCCCATGTAGCGAAGATCGAGCTCTCAGGGAAGAATTTGTCTGGAAAAATATCTGATAAGATTTTCCTGTTTCCATATGTTCAAAATATTGATCTTTCCAGCAACCAGTTCGTTGGGGAAATTCCAGGGAATCTGTCGTCGTGTTTTTCGCTCAGGAATCTCAATCTAAGCAATAATAATTTAACAGGTCCAATTCCTGGAGGCTTCGTTCCACTTCTTGAAACGTTGGATCTCTCCAACAATATGCTTTCAGGAAAAATCCCAGACGCAATTGGACTTTTTTCAGGCCTTAAAGTGATTGATTTTGGTGGGAACGTTTTGACAGGAAAAATTCCCAAGTTCATAACAAATATGACAAGATTGGAGGTCTTGACTTTGGCATCAAACCAGTTGATTGGAGAAATTCCAGGAGAATTAGGGTTCATGAAGAGTTTGAGGTGGATTTATTTGGGACATAATAATTTCTCAGGTGGAATTCCAAAGGAAATTGGTGAATTAACTTCCTTGAATCATCTTGATCTTGTTTACAATAATCTGACAGGTGAAATCCCTTCATCTATAGGAAATCTCACCAATCTTCAGCACCTTTACCTCTACTTCAATAAATTCACTGGTGGAATTCCAAGATCCATTTTCAGTCTCAGGAAATTAGTTTCACTTGATTTAAGTGACAACTTCTTGTCAAGTGAAATTCCTGAACTAGTAATTCAGTTGCAAAATCTGGAAATTCTCCATTTGTTTTCCAACAATTTCACTGGAAATATTCCGAATGCTGTAACCTCTTTGCCTCACCTCCAAGTTCTTCAGTTGTGGTCGAATAAATTTTCTGGGGAAATACCAAAAGACCTTGGGAAGTATAACAACCTCACCGTATTAGACCTTTCTTCAAATAACCTAACCGGAAAAATCCCGGAAAATCTTTGCTTTTCCGGACGCCTATTTAAGCTTATCCTCTTTTCAAATTCTCTGGAAGGTGAAATTCCCAAGAGTTTAAGCAGTTGCAGAACTTTACAGCGTGTCCGCCTTCAGAACAACCGGCTCTCCGGTGAATTGTCCCCGGGATTTACCAGCCTTCCTCTTGTTTACTTTCTGGATATTTCCAGGAACAATATTTTTGGCTCAATTGATGAATGGAAATGGGATATGCCAGAACTTCAAATGCTAAGCCTGGCAAGAAATAAATTTTATGGGAACTTGCCCGATTCCTTCAGCAGCAAAAAGTTGGAGAACCTCGATTTGTCAGGAAATAATTTTTCAGGCAGCATTTCTCAAAGTCTAGGGAAATTTTCAGAACTTATGGAACTGAAATTAAGTGAAAACATGCTCTCAGGTAAAATTCCTGATGAATTATCTTTTTGCAAAAAGCTTGTGAATTTAGACCTCAGCCATAATCAGCTTACTGGGGGAATTCCTATTAGCCTTTCTGAAATGCCAGTTCTTAGCCAGCTTGATCTGTCGGTTAATCAGTTATCGGGCGAAATCCCATCCAATTTAGGCAAGGTGGAATCCCTTGTTCAAGTAAATATTTCTCACAACAATTTTCATGGAAGTTTACCCTCCACAGGCGCGTTTCTAGCTATCAGTTCTTCCGCTGTGGCCGGAAACAGCCTCTGCGGTGGAGAAACAAGTGGTTTACCACCATGTTCCAGCATTAAAAATCGGGTTCCCTGGTCTTTAATGGCCTGTCTTCTTGTTTCCTTTGTGGTTGTTGTTCTAGCTATATCGTTTGCTGTTTTCATTCGACGAAGAAATAAAGTCCAGTTGAAGACGATTGAAAGCGAAGATGGAACTTGGGAGTTCCAGTTTTTGAATTCCAAGGTTTCAAAATCAATAACAATCAAGGATATTGTTTCATCTATAAAGGATGAAAATCTCATTTCCAGAGGAAAGAAGGAAGTACTTTCATATAAAGGAGAATCCACCACAAACAACATGCAATTCTTAGCCGAGCAAATCACTTCATTTTCAACCAAGTCTTCGACCGGCATAATCGAATTATGTAACCTCAAACATACAAATATTCTGAAGCTACTTGGGATATGCTGGTCAGAAAAGGTTGGAATTTTGGTTTATGAGTACATTGAAGGCAAGGATTTGCATGAAGCCCTTCCAGGCCTGAGTTGGGAAAGAAGATATAACGTTGCCATTGGAATTGCTAAAGCTCTTCGATATTTGCACTGTTATTGTTCAACAGGTATCCTGGCAGGTGATCTTTCACCACAAAAAATTTTCGTCGATGAAAATGACGAAGCCCGCTTGAGATTGAGTCTTCCGGGGCTCGTTCCTGCCGACAACAAGTGTTTCATCTCTTCTGCCTACTTTGCGCCAGGTACGTAATACTAGACGCTTAACATGGTCGAGTGTGCTGTTAACGTACTTACAATAATACACCTGTTACAATTCTTAAAGAAATAAAAACATTATTGAATAAGATAATAATAATAATAATAATAATAATAATAATAATAATAATAATCACTCATTTTTCCTTAATTACTATGTAAATATTCTGAAATTGCAAGTTCTGTCAATAAATTTAGAAAGTATAAATGTGGAAGAACAGGACTACAGCATCATAATTTCTTTTTAGAATAAATGTAATGTTGACACTGTTTCTTTATTGGCTCAACCTTTGATGGTGAAGGTCCCCTTAAGCAGACAAGTTTAATCAAGGGTATCATGCATGAAAAATTCTCACTTTTTACTTTCCAAGTACAGATATAGATACAGTGATCTGCATAAGAAAAATAATATTATCATTTTGCTATACGTGTGCATCAAAAAGTGTAATAAATCATTCTTTAATTAATTGTTGAAAATTCATCGTTTCCTTTTCCATATAATCATGTCCATGCACGTATAATAAATTATATTTTATAATGATCTACAGAAACTCGAGCATCCAAGGGCGTGACCGAAAAGAGTGACATCTATGGATATGGCCTTGTTCTGATACAACTTCTGACTGGAAAATCTCCGGCTGATGACTCGGGGTTCGGAACCCACCAAAACATTGTTGAATGGGCTAGATATTGCTACTCAGATTGCCATCTTGAAATGTGGGTTGATCCAACCATCAAGAATCATGCAGTAATGAATAATCAGAATCAAATTGTTGAGATAATGAATCTTGCCCTTCAATGCACTGCAACTGATCCTGCAGCCAGGCCTTGTGCAATCCATATAGTCAAAACCCTAGAATCTGCTGTGAAATCAAGTTCTTGTGGATTTGAACTTATATCTACCAATGTGTAGTCTTCCCTTTTTTTTTTTTTTTTGGGTTTTGACATATTTTATATTTTCAGCCTTTCATTAACTTTTTTCTTTGATCTTTTTCTGTATAAGGGTCTAGTTAAATGTTGTTTTATGAATCAGGGTCTCAGCAACAATGGCCTAAATTCTCAGCAATTCCCTTATCGTTGAGACACTGGATCTCTTTATAAATTAGTCTTTTATTTGATGTTATGAAGACATACTACTGAGTTTATAAATATTGTAGATATAGTTTTTCATCGGAAGCCTAATACTTGAAATCAAAACCTTTATCAACTTCAATATCAAATTGAGTTACTCTGTATATCACGACGAGCTAAATATACATGCCATGTGCAAAATACTTCTTCCTAATTTTTGTGTTGGTCATGATATTATGTTTAGGAGTTTCATCTTAAAATGTAAACTTTGTTAAGATAGTAGACTAAATCTGTGTGTTGATTATTATTTTCTTAAATGATGCGGACTTTTGCAAAAATTCTTTCATATCCAAATTCGATGTCGTGGGAAATCGTAATAAGAACTACTTTTTTATTTAGTCAACCTACTGAGCTAGATGAAAAGGAACTTTCACATTCGTTTTTGAAGGGAAGATATCCTACTTCGTAGGCTCCTACCCCTAATTTTCTTTCGGTAGCTAGGTTCATAATGAAAACCCCACTTTCACGTGATTCGATATATCAGCATGGAGAACTTACTTTCAATTATGAGTTGACGCAAGACAATTTTTTTATGTATACATTATTATATGTCTGTAATGCAATATTTTAAACATGACTGCATACTCGTGTTCAACACTACCCAACGCTACCCAATTCTATTTACCGAATACAACGTGAAAGCCTTCATATTCCAGTAGCTTCAGCTTTTTCACACAATAATGCTTTATATACATATGAACAAATAATACAACCAATTAGCTAGTCCCAAACCAAGAACGAGTAGTACTTAAAGTGAACAGCCAAAGCCAAAAGAAATTGTATTGTTGAAAGGGGACCATTATTTGTGTACCATTTCTGATAAGTTTGATCATACTCTTTGTCCCTTCCTTCAACATTTAAAATAGAAAAAGAGTGCAAAAATTCCCTATTCCAGACACAAATTTTCAATTGTAAAAGCTCTCTGATTTTTGTGGTTTCTTATTTCATTTATTTGTTTTAATGGGGGAAGGGCTGGGACTTGGAGTTAGTACTTTATAATGGCAAGTGCCATTTCACATAGTTTTTAGGGGCTTTGTAGCTTCTTTCTTGGGAGAAATACACACAATTAAGGAAATTTTTTGAAATAAATCTAAGTGTTTTTGAATGTGAAGTATGGAAATAAAACCCTTCTTCCGTCATGCATCCTTGACTAATGCAACATATTACTTTAAAATTACCTTCAAATAAAGTAATTATAACTCATATCTCGATGATTTCGGCATCATTTACTCATTTCTCAAACTTCTTTTTTTCTTTAATTTGTAGCATAAACAAGATTGAGGAGCTAAAATCATTAGATTAAAGGTGCCGCCTTTTGCTCAATTGCTTTGATTGTACCATTAATAATTTCCAATCATGAATTTATTTGAATATTATGAGTGAAAGCAATGGAGTGTGGTTATTAGGTCAAGCCGCAGCATTGCATAAAAGGAGACTCCACTGATGAGGCATAATTTAGGTCACACTCCTTGTGTAAGTTCTACATTTGTAGTTTCATTTTTGTTTGGTAAAAAATTTGGAGGATTTGAGTGATGACTTTAAAACAATTTAACAACCTTATCAAAATAAATTGGACAGATTAATGGTAAGAATATGAGTAAAAACTCCAAAGAAAAGAATTTAACGTCAAACGAAATGTATGCAAAGTCGAGGCAAGAGTTGTACTCTTTGTTCTTAAGTTGAATTTGCCCCACAAGAATCAACTCCCAAGATACCACGACGAACTACTTGTGTTAGTAGTACTTCAAAACACAAGAACAACGAACCTAAAATTGGTTTTTGTACTCATTATGAAAAATGAGAAAACAGCTTATATGCAGGATTTTGGTTATGAAAATAATGAATTTAATTATGCTATGATTGCATATCATTGGAATGAATAAATGGATGTCTCAAGGATCTAATTTATAGAGAATGAAATGTTGTGAGTGAAGTGTCGCGTCCCAAATTCAGCAACCTTTGCCAAAGGTCGCGACAATTGCTGTCACTAGCTTGTCGCATTTGTGTCATTTGAGCATCGGAAACAGAGACTCTTTTGCTCGCCTGTCGCTTGAGATCTAGGCGAGCAACAGAGTTGGTCAAATTTCCAATCAATTTATTCTCTTTTCCTTCCAACTTCAGACCGTAATTTCTCATTCACCCGGAATTGGTTTGGAGATTCCAAATACACCACGACGATCTACTCAGCGAGTAGAACTCTATTTATTTTCAAATTTTGATTATCAGATCACATCCGAATATTTGGTCGAATTTGACATGTAAGTCATTTTTTCATGATTTTATACTTAACTAATTTCAACAATTTTAATATAGCTTTCATGATATAAAATGTTACTCATCTTTGTTGTTTTTCAGTATCTTATGAATTATTTGTTAATAGTTTAATATAGTTAAAATGTATCGGATATATCACGACCACAAAAACGATGAGTAAAAAGTATTCATGTCTTGGGCTGAAAATATTACTTCTTAAGTCCTATGGTAACACTGCTTTAACTTTTTTTTTTTTTTTCAAACTCATTTTTAGTCATCATTTTCCAATAAAATAAGTTTGCACGTGGGCCTATAAAATTTTCTTACTTTGTAACCACACATTCTCAATTATCAAAAAATCTACATCAAACCAGTCTTAAGTGGCTGCATCGGTGATGCATTGCAGCATGAAATATTATTTCTTCTTCCCATGGAATGGAAGAATTGGTTTAACCAGGGTGAATAAATAAACCCTCCAAACTGAAAAACCAAGTTGAATCGTAGGGTTGAAACTGTTTGATTTTGGCCCCATGGCGACTCGGTCAACATTCAATTCTGAACTGTACTGAGTGGCTTAGAAACGGCTTAATTTAGATTTTCAATACTTAAAAACCGGTTCAAATCGAACCAAAAGGTTTATAAAGAAAATCTAATTCATTAGATCCATGAGAATTTATTATTTACTATATGATCCAAACAATTTGGGCACTAGTGAGTAAAATAAGGCTTAGATATTATTGATATAGTTGAATTTTTGTTAAGTGCTTTTTTAACCTAACTTCGTTAATTGTTATAATTAAACTTTGTGTTATTTTTATAGCCCTAAGCTTTTCTTGATAATATATTGTGACATTTATGTTTATAAGCTTTCATTCTAAAATTTGTATTGAGATTTTAGACAGATGTTTATGTTTTAGTTCTTTGAAATACATTAATTTTACGTCGCTAAGTAAATCGTGATTTGAAACATAACTAAACCACGAAAGGTGGTTTGATTTTAAAAGTGATAAGCTTTGGTGCTTGTTTGATAAAACTTAGCTAGAATTTTATCAATTTTTAATGGGCAAAACTTCAATTTTGATCAAACATTTCACGAGATTCACAACTTGTATTAACTTTTTATCTACACATTCATCGACTTTTATCAAAAACTGTTAAAACTTTTATCAAAATCTTTGTTAAACAATCTCTTGTTTGGTTAAAAAAAATTCCAAGCTATTTCAAATAGTTTGATTTGAAAATATGTCAAGAGCCATCCAAATCGAACTGTGTTCACCTCTTAAGTTTAACTTCGAAATTTGTGAGGGGCTAAAGTTTCTTTTTTAATCAATCTAGACCACTCAATATCGCTAGATAAATGCGTACAGGGATTTGTTCATATAGCCTTGCAGATGCACGTCTGTGTAGATAGCATAATTCATATCGCTGTTGGTGAGAGCTGTAAGACAGCAAAGAATTTAGGACAATTCACAACATATAACGCCCTACTCAAGGGTTTATAAAGAAACAATATAATGTGCAAGGCCACGAACCACAAACTGGCGCATGAAGACGCGCCCCTTATTTGGGAATAGAAAAAGGATTCGGTCACATATTATTTGAATTTTATCTATTCATGCAAGCTTTATACTGATTGCTATAGTACATGAGATCTTACTTGCAAATAACCCTATGCATATTCCATAGAGGACTACTTTCCTTAGGCTTCTTCCATGTAGAGCTCATTCCTTTTCAACCTATCCATGTTGAAGTTTAAGGGAAATCGAGAGCAAAGGTAAATTATATAGATTCCAATTAGCCTATTTGGTAAAGTATGGCGTGTAGATAATGAAGTTCAAATTTTAGGTATCTTAGTGTGTTCAATCATGTCCATTATTACGAACAAAATATATCCTACTCGACATTACTTAACAAGAGAGAGAAATTTAAATTTTGTTTATTATACTCGATCTTGTCCTTCGTCCCATTCATATAGCAAGTCTCACTACTATTTCAAAAAAAAATAAAGGTAAAATAAAAATTATGCAGTTCAAAATAGGTCAAAATTAAAGATGAAGAATCCCGGAAAGGGACACTTTCCAACCAGAGCTTACCCACAAGCCTAACTTCTCTTTCTGCATTCTAATGATGGTGCTTCACATTTTTTTCTCCCAAACCCATTATTTTTCTTCTCTTCCTACTGAAAAATGATAATTGTGACAATAACCCTATTCACTTTTTTGTCAATGAGAACACACTTGTACAGATAGAAGATTCCATTCATAAAGATAAGTCTAAACAAATAGATATAAAAAAGCAAATATAGAAAAAGATCAAACAGCTAAGATCTGCTGTCATGGATTTGATTTTATTTTCAAGTTTCTAATCTCAAAAGATTCAAGATTTTAATTATAGTTTTCTTGGAGACCATGCAAAAGGGTTCTTCTTTCTGTTCAAAAAGTGTATTTTTCCTCCCAATATTCAGAAAAGAAGTTCTTTCAATCAAGAGTAGCAGAAAAGAATAAAATATATATCTTGTCTCCCGTTTTTTCCCTACTTTTGGTGCAATTTGTGCAGATCATGCATGTAAAAATACATTATTTTTTTTCATGATTGATTCTTTCATTTGAGCCAGCTAGTTTTATTTAAGATCAAGATCATCTGTAATCATGATGATCATTGAACACACGTGCAAACAGGTCCATATGAGTACTTGACACCCCACTTTAGTAGATCATTTGACCAGTGCACTTAATGTGTTAATTTTGACTTATAGGAGGGATTTAGAAAAGAAAGATACTTGATGAAATCTTTTATTTTTTCAAAGATCTTTTTGAACTAATGGAAGCCAAGAGAGTGTTAACAGTAAATGATTTATATTAGAACTTATTCTACCAAAGGGTTGACATGTTAAAGTCTTCATACTTTCAAGAAAAGTAACTTTTAAGTATAGTCAAACATACTTTATCATCTAATGCCGACCATCTTCTTATGAAAAAGAAGAAAAGTAGTTTGACCCCTTAATTGGCAGGAGATTCAGGAACATGCGTGATATGCAGAAATCAAATGCAGAGTTTTCTTGTCTACAAATTTATCACACTCCATGAACTATGGCTACAGTGCCTTCTTGCCTTTGCAAAAGTATGACTTCCCACAGAAAATGCCTTTTTGTCTAAAGAAATTCTTGGGTTTTTAGGGTTTTTACGAGGCAATTTTTGTAAGATTCAAGTTAATAATCATGTCTTAGTTATGATACCCGACCTTCAACATTTTTCTAGTTAATATATTTTGCCTACTTGTATATGTATGCATCAATCGATTTCAAGTTGGCTGTACATTTATCAAATGTAGACTCTTTATGCAACCAAACCTTTTCGATGATCCAATGACTCGCCACAGCTTTAAGCAGTGGCCAGTTTAAAAATTTAAATTTTGGGCATTTCATATTTTATGGTCCAGTAAATGGGATTATTAATAAATACATTTCAACATCAGAGAATGAGACTAATGCACTATCTAATACAAAGGGCTTATGATGTAAATAACTTTTGACCATTGAAAAGTACAAAACAAAGGAAATTTAATCAATCATTCTTGATTTACTTGAAATTGGTGAATGAATTCAAATGAAATGAAAAATTCAGTTTCAACTTGATATGATTGATATTCATAATGAAACAAAGTTTGAAAGACACAAAGGATTTGAAAATCTGATCATAAGGAGAGTAGAAGGCATGATTGAAGTGTGTTCACTAGCTGGTGGAAACCTCTCTATCAATTTATTTCTCCTAGTAGAGCTTGCTAAGGACTTCTGAAATTTAAAAGAAATTTCAATGCACCGAGGAAAAAAATCAAGAATTCATGTCCTACTTAATTATAGTGAGTCATGAATGACGATCTAAATTTGTCGGTAGATATCATATGAATGAATTCTATGCCTTTTTTATGAAAAGCGCCGTTCTATATCAGTAGTGTACAATATAACTATATGAAAGTTTAGCGCAATAGGCATTAGTTGAGACATTGTAAAGCCTTGGAATCATAGATTTATGCCGTTGTCCTGGTTCCCAAACAGAACTACAATTGGACAAGATAAATAGTTTCTTTTTCCTCTTTAATCTTGTTTTATACAATTCAATTCAGCATATCAAATATCCCATAAACGTCGTTTTACAGACATAATAATTCATCACTTCATGGGGCAGCATGTGCAAGCTACCACACAATTGTTGTTTGAAGGATTTAGCAACGCCCACTTCAACCTCCTATTCCAGTCATCCCACTTTATAAACAAGCAAAAAAAAGTTCTTAGGGTGGGGGTGGAATTCATTTGGAAGAAGCAATAATTGGAAGTTTGTGAGACTGTTTTCTGGAGAAAAAATCTTTACTCTGGGAAAAATGGCTAGCCCATTTCAGAGAATGGTCCACTCCACAGTTGAAGAAGATACAGAAAGGGGTGAAGAATAATACTCTTCTAATGCCATCAAAAATTGTTTGTTTCCATTCAGGAAGAAGTTAAAGAGAAATAAGTGATTATGCGATCATGGAGGGCCCTTCGGGAAATTCATGCAATAGAAATCGTACACCATGAAACAAAGTGGTGAGAGCATCAACAATATGTTTAGCCAAAATTAGATTTTAACATCAGATCTGGGGACTGGGATTGAATGTTTGATGATAGAATCTACTATATTTGGTATATATTTCGTTCTCATTTACCTAAAGAGAATTGATTGAGGTTTCTTGTTTGTTTTCTTTCTGATTGCTCCATCAAATGTCAGTCAAGATTTAGCAGTGATTGGAATAATAGCAATTTCATAGGCTTAAATGAACCCCACGCGCCATTGCTGTCAAACTATTCTCCATTGACAGTGCTAAAGGATTTGGACTTTTATTTTCATTTTTCTTTTAATTATATTGAAGGGTTCTGTAGGACCATATCTCTTTATATTGTTTTTGTTTTAACATTAAATGAAGGTCGATAATTTTTATTTTCCAGTGTGTACTGTTTTTTGTAAATTATACCAATGTGCTTTTAGTTTAAAAATGTTTCACTGTAATACTAATAATGCATCTCTTTGTACCTCAGCAATTTTTAACATAACCACAAAAGTTGTCATTTACTTGCAATATCTTCATGTAACGAGCAATCTCAGATTTATAATTTTTGCTAATTTCCCAAGATTTGAAGGGTTCATTTCATATGATGTTTTCTGTAATTTCTGACCTGAACGGGAAGAGAAATTCAGTAGATTATACATTACGTAATAGCACGACTACTTTTTTTCTTGATCCTAAGCATAGGAAGGCCAAAAGTATGTAAGAAAATCAACTGAATGGAAATGGAACAAAGCAATGGCTAGATAAGCTTCTGTGAAGTGCATGTTTTAAACATGGTATTGGGACAATTCGGCAATGAATGTAAAATTTTGTACCATATTCAAAACAAAAGGGATTGAAGCACCCAAAGAGTAAGTTACTAGCTGTAAGAACACAGAATGTAAAACCAATTGATATTCAAGTAAAAGCATATTGAATTGTCAAGTCCTGCTTCGCTATTATAGAGCATGCATACATGAAAACAACTCATTTAACTTTTACTATGATAACAAATAGAATTTGATCGAATCATAAGGAATAAAAGCTCAAAATTTCTTGAGTATTAGGATATGCTCCAAATTCCAATACTTACCTATTTAGCTTTTACATAATCGAGGAGAAGTTTATCAAGCTCAAAATGCCGGCAAAGAAGTTTCTGGAAAAAAAAGAAAAGAAAAGATCCACATGGGCATTTGTCAAAGAACAGCACAATCGAAATTATTAATTGATCATCCATTTTATCTTTCATTCACAATAGTGAAAAATCAAAAACTTGGTTGCCCTGAAAGACGGTGATTCCTAGGACATGCACTAAATCACACTGTAGAACACATTCACATGCACTAGCGTGTTGCCTGAAAGTTTAAAAATAGAAAATGACCAGAACATAATCCAATAGGAATAAAGAAGTGATACATAAGACTCTGAACAAGAACTTGTGATGTCCATTCTTACCTCTTCAAGGTTCACAAATCCTATGCAATTAATTTTAAAGAAGCATACAATGCAAGCAAAATTAATTTAGGCTGTATACTAAAGTCTTTGGGACGTTGCCTTAGAATCCATGTTTAAGATCACCATGTTATTCAATGAACCAATTAGAACTCCTTTTTGTGAATATTTGGTGTTGTGATGATTTGACGGTGATCGACAACTCAAATGATCAACATTTTGTAAACGATAGCCGTTCACGTTATTTGCCACTTAAATGGAATAATTGAGCTCAACTATAAAACCGACGACTCCATACGGGCCCAAAGGAAAAGAAGATAAGAATTGTTTATTTCATTTCATGCATCAATCTTACACTTGCACCATATTTCACTCACTGAGTTGTGGGTAAACTCACCCATTGATTTACTCTAATTTTCAGATAACAATACCTAGAGGGTCCGTTAAGTATTATGATAATAGCCCAGCAATTACCTGAGATGGTTGGGAGTTTCATTGGACCATTTGGATGGACGTGGTCCTACGATACTCAAGATAAGGATCTCTTTATGCTGGAATTCATCTTTGCTGTAACTGTCTACTATGCTACTAGTTCTTTTGAGATATATTGGTGGACCTTCGAATTATCTATGTATGAAAGAAGCAGCCACCAGTAGTACAGAAAGAAGGGATCAAGTACTAGAATTAACATATTGCCTTTTTTTGTTAATCCCATTAGGGATAGGTATTAACATAAATGTATCCCCCTTGTTCCTCTTTTTGATTTTTGAATGAAGTGTCATGGTGGCTTGAGCCTTGATGTAATGCTATGAAAAGTGTCATGTGAGTGAGTAGTATGTAACAAGTTCTGAATGCGATTCCGTATAGGTTATGGCTAATTTGCAGTAGCTACTTCAGTTTATCCAAATGTTTAAATGATGCAGCAGAGTAACAACTAATTGTTTATATTCTTAAATTGCTAGTACTGTTTAATCCATGCCCATGATGTGAGACATGGTCAAAATTTAGAAAACTTAACAAGCAGTAACTATTACAGTAGACAAAATCATGAAGGTTTGTACAAGCACCAACAAACTGAGAGATTCGACTCAGAACAGATGTAAAAGCCTTTTAGATTATGGTTTCAAAAACATACATATATCAGAAGAAAAGAGCAGGGAAGCTGTTACACTAAATCTTTGTGAAATTACCTTGGAGATGGGAGAATTGAAAACTTTTGTTTCAAAATCCACATCAGGTAAGCGCGTCAACTCAGCTCCATCGTAGAACATTATATATACTGGAAGCTGGTGTAGGCTTGCTGCACAGTTTCGGAAAAATAGTTACTGATGGAAGTATACAGAACAACAATAATGGCATGTTTACAAGGGAATATTGGATAGCACTGGACACTAATTTAGAAAGGAAAAAAAAAACTAGAACTTTGTTCCTATCCAACATCCAATATTGTGTACAGTGTATAATATTACGTTGTGATAGTGAAAATAGTTGAAAAAGTAACTTGAAATAAATGGTGATCGATGCTACTAAAAATGATCTTTAAGTTGTGATAACTGATATATTTCTACCGAGAGTGATTCCAAACTTCTCAGCAGCATTAGGAAAGAGTCCAAGATCAACTATTCCGAATGATAAATATTTGTTAGAGTATCTGTATAACAAGGGAAAAAAAACAAGTATGAGATGGCTATACTAAAGCAAGAAAAATGCTTGTCACCGAAGGTAGTAAGTTGTGGACAAACAGGCATGTTAGCAAAATTGACAACGGGTTAGAAATCATAAACTCAAGCAGAAGAGCATGGCAAAGATTCAAGACTCACGTAATTGAGAGTTCAGGAAAAATGGAACTTGAGTTTATGCAACCGGATGTAGACAAAGAACGAAATTCCACCTGTCAAAAATGATAAACTGGTGCTGAGCTTAGAGAAAAGAAAATAAAAATATACACTTGGATGCCTGGAACAATGAAAACTTAGAAACTATTCTTTTCGTAGGTTGCATAGTTTAGTCAAGTCACTTGTACATGTGGATGCACATCGATATTTATTGAAGGTTCAACTATTCCTGGTATTATCAACATTCCACGGTTGGACAAATCATGCTGCACTTGAGCAAATAGACTAAATATGATGCAGCCAATGAATAATTGAGTTAAGCAACAGAAAGAGTGCTATAAGCATGTAGATTTCCCTAAAAATCAAAACAAGCACATTTAAAGGACAAGCTCAAATTTTCCAGAACTGCAGCTCAAGCATCAAGAAACATAAAGAAAAGTTAAAATGGTTATTTTTGCTGGAAACACCCGTTATTCAAGTCGAATACAAATCTTCAATGAAGATGAAATCTAAGAAAGGTCAAGAAAACAACAATAGGTTTAGGGAATATTGACATATTATTGGGTTCTTGGCAATCTTTGTAATGCTTTTAAAATATAGAACAAACGCCAAGGTAGATACAAAACAAAGAATAAATAGGCTGCCCTTGACTGCATGTCATAACAACAACAAAAAAAAAAGCTAGTTTTTATTGCCAATAAATTTCAGATTGGTTGTCACATCTTCTTTGCCATTATTGATTCATAGCTTCCTCTGAAAAGTCCAATAAACTCAATTTTTTACGCAACCATCTTGGAACATATTAATTTCAGTCTACTTCTCCCTTTTCTAACTGGTTCCATTGAGACTGTACCTTTATTGTGAATAGAAGCTTTAGGTCTATGAAAATACCTATTACAACCATGTAAAAGCCTCCCTTAATCCATTTGTCTTACAGCTTCATTTCTTATTTTATTCATTCTAAGTTGATCGCACACCCATTTTAATATCTTTATTTCTGCTATGATTAATTTTGTGAATATCTTGTCATGTAATGACCACTATGTATATATAGCATAATTAGTCTAATCTTATGTAACACACATCTTCATAACCTTTACTTAGCCTATGTTTGGCTCATGTTCATAAATTGTTTATAAACACCCAAATTCACTTTTATCCACACATTAGCTATTTATCCACAACTTATTTCTATCTATTTATAATTTAAACTGTTTATAAACACCTCCCAAACATGCTTCCAATCAAATTCATTGACCCAAAACTGTCTGCACATAAGGACAACACAATTTTATTTTGATTCTTTCAATCTTCGTTTCTATTTGATTAAAACAGTATTCCACGTATTCCGTCTTAGATCTACTTGATCTAGTCCTTAAATTCCCAAGCACTACAAAGTTCTAATTTGAGATTTATCCCTATTATAATCTGAATTTCATCAATAAAATTAGGAGTGGGCAAAACCCAAACCAACCCGATCAAACCGCCCGACCCGACCCGACCCAAACCGACCGGTTTGGGTCGGTTTTTTGTTTTTTGCCTTTTTTTTGGTGGGTTTCGGGTTGGGTAATCGGGTCGGGGGTTAACATCCTTAACCCGATCCAAACCGACTACATTAAAAATTTTTAAAAAAAAAGGGAAAACACTTTAAATTGAAAAACAAATCCCTAAAAGCCCACGCTTCTCAAATCGCCATTGAGAACTCCCGTTCGAACGAGAAGTTCCTTTCTGTTTTCTGTGAGGGGGTGAAGTATGGTGCTGGAATTGGGCCTGGTGTTTATGACATCCACTCCCCCAGGATACCATCAATAGAAGAGATTGTCGATGGAATGAACAGGATGCTTGCAGTGCTTGAAACCAATATCTTGTGGGTCAACCCTGACTGTGGTCTCAAGACTCACAAGTACACTGAAGTGAAGCCAACCCTTCAAAACATGGTCGCTGCTTGCAAGCTTCTCAGAGCCCAGCTTGCTAGTTCCAAGTGAGTTATTATAGGCACGTGACGTCTGAAATCATCTAATTCACTATACCTTAAATGAAAAAAATTTCAGTTCGATAAATGCGTTTGATACAGGCGTAGTCTGCCCTGTCCAGTGGGCATTTTGTTATCTTGTTTTTCGAATTTCCCTTTTGCAAATATGAAAGTATTATGTACTATGAGGGATATTGCCTTTAGTATGTTTTAGAGGTCACATACCTGATGAATGAGCCTCTGCGAGTGGACTAAAATTGTGTTTTCAGATTGTGATATATATATTAGTTATTGAATTTTGCATATAATATCCGTTTTTATCATTTACACATAACTGAACTATTGCTCATGGATTCCAGACTATCGATTAGTTTTTTTTTTTGCACCACAATTTTAGCGTCACTCTATAATACAAGTGATTTCACAGTTTTGTTATGATTTTGTTTTGTTTGTGTTGTTTGATGAAGACTGGCAATTGATATTACAAATGCAGCTGAATGTAAGTTCGACATTTCTATTTTGCTGTACGGTAACAATCTCCATTTTCTAGCGCTCTCTTCATGATGTTTTGCCTTGTTTTAGTAAGCTAATTAGTAAGCCCTTGTTTGATTTTCTTAAAAATCAAGATGGTGGGTTATTTAATTCTTACTAAGGCCCTGTTTGGCCCCCATTTTTTGGAGTTGAAAATTTGTACAATAGTGATTGATGGGAAAATATGTGATGGAAAAGTTTTAGATTTGTGTGTAATATTATTTTATTTGAGAATATGTGGTTGAGATGAATAGAGAGAAAAAATGGGGCTCAAACGGGGGCTAAATACCGCATATCTTTGGCAAACCGACCAACCCAACCCGACCGACACTTGATTGGATCGGGTTGGGTTGGGTTGGGTTGGTTTGATTTTAGATCAAACCGACCATATTGGGTTAGGTTGGGTTGGGTTTGGATTAGGGCAAAAACCAACCCAACACAACCCAAACCCAAACCTAACCCACCCCACGCCCACCCCTAACTAAAATAATATCATTAGCAGATAATGCATACCAAGGGACCTTATCTTAGATATCGCTCATAAGTTTATCCATAACAAAAGCAGAAAAATAAATGTAAGCCTCTAAAGAAGTTCAATAAAAATATTATAACACCGAGGATCTCTTTTTTTGTTATCCAAAAATTTGGATCTATAAAGACCGGCATACTGCACCAATTAGATGATGCAACACTTGTGCACTTCTGACAGATTACCTTGAACTTCAGCATGTAATGTCAATGATATGTGGATTTAAAAGGCCATTTTAGCTTTGACTACACCAGAAATAATCTCCACAAACAAATCTTCAATTAGAGTTCCAAATGAATGACATTGCAATCCCTATGAAGAAGACGCTAACTCTTCTCTCCCTCCATGTAATTTATTTATTGAATTTTATCCTTCAAGTGAAGTTCTTTGAGAATCTCTGGTTATTAATTAACCTGAACTTTTGGAGGTCAGTAAAACAGTGTTCAATTTCATTCTTTTGCTATTATAGAACCTTTTTCACTTGGATGTAAAACAAAGTCTCAACTAATTTTGAAAATTACCAAGTAGCCAATATGCACTCTATTCATCCTAGAAAACAAGCCATGTCAAAATAGGCATCAAAAATCCTTCCAAAGAAAGAAACCAGACGTGACAATGACCAAGCAATACACTAGAGGTCTAGAAGTGACATAAAATCAATTGAACTTGTGGAAATTATAAATAGCATAACACAACGTCAGATCCCGTATGAGCAATGCCTTATGCAATAATTAAAATTCTCACACCTTTAAACTTTTTTTTTTTTGATAAGTAATCGAAAAATATATTAAAAAACAATAGATAATACATGGGAAATGTATTATCAGTATACACAATACAGAAATGACATGAAATAAGGCAACCCTACAATATGGTTATTAGCAACAGTATTAAACCAACTATACAAAGTCGGAAAGAACAAT